CCGTTACGTAGAGGCTCTCGACGCAGAGGACCACTGATCTAGCCTTTTATAGATTACCTTAATCGAGTCTGCCGTAATGAAGGAATAATGAAATAAATGAGTGCCTTTGTTTGGTGCCACCATCGAGGGAGAAATGGCAGTATCATTTAAGTGCCAATTGGCAGTGTGGAAGCAGTTAGCATTTATAATGATAAGTGTTCCATCTGCTGTGTGGTGGCAAGCCAAAGGCGACAGATGGAATTGTTTTCACAATCTGTTTAAATATGTTGTCGTTTTTTCTTCCCTTTTTAAAAAGCCCCAGCTTGGCACACTCGTACGCCCGTTCGCATTAAGGTGGAGATGTTTGATTTGATTCGTGCAGTGCTGCTGTTGTTTTTCTCATGTTTATCAACCTCTGATGGAGATGAAGAGTTGATCCAACGATGGTAGACAAGAAAAACGTGAGTGCAAAAAGTGTCTCTAGGCGAACATAAGAGCGCACTGTGGAGAATGAGTTTGGATATTCCATCTTGGTTCATGGCACACACAACAATCCAATTTAAACAGCAAGGGTTGACCCAATTGCGGATATATAGCCTTATATCTGGATAGAGAGGGGCATCGGTTAGGGCTGTGGTCTGGGCTCTAAACAAAGGGATTGAATCTCTCTATGTCATACAAGGGGGAGACGGACTGAATGAGAGATTTGGATTAGAGAGGAGCACCACTGTTTGACATCTGTAGAAGCTACAGTGAGCCGCGAGTCACCAGCTGCTCTGCGTGAGCTGTTTACTCATGGAGAGCGTTAAACTTTGTTCTGTTCAGCTTACTGCCACATGGCTTGAACAACACATTACAATCCAACTGAGCAGCTTTTCAAATCTCATTTTACTTTTATACTTTTTCCTATACTTTTTTTTTGGTAATGAAGCCCTGAAGTGCAAAGTTAAGGAAAGCTTATTTCAGCTTATGTCTCTGTTTTGACTTCACTACCTGCATCCAAATATGCCTCCTCCCTGAGTACATGAAATTAGTAGCATGTCTGAATTCGTAGTATTAATAAAACATGCAATACATCTTCAATCTGAACAGGCAGCACAACAGACGTTTTTGTTTTAAGTCCCATTACAGTCAATGATTTTATCCCTTAAAACTCGTATTTGATAATCACATTGACATATTTAAAAGTTTTTTCCTGTGAAAGTAATTTCTTCATGCCTTAAAATAGCTTGAATGTAACTTGTTTATTTTGGTATACACTGAGCCATGAATATACTTATTAGTCCCCGCCTCCTCCCAATCACACCAGCTCGGACTACCTGATCCACTCTGTCAGCTGTAGTAAATGCTACACGATGGCAAGTGGACATTTTTGAGTTTTTCAAGTTATTGAACCAGAAACTAATTCAGAAGAAGAGGAAGAGCAAATTATACAGGCATGCCCGGTTCTACGGGGGTGCTTGAGGGTGTTAAGAACCCACAAACGAAAGCAAGAGCACCCTCAGTTGATACTGTAATAATATCATAGTGACGAAACCTATTGGGTCCAGTGAAATGTCAAATGTTTCTATTTTCAACATGTTTTTGTAGTGGTGAGCAATGTAGCCAATCATAGACATGTTTGTTGATCTCTTGAGCGCAGAGATTATAAGAGATTCATTGTAGACAACTTTTTTTGATTATAATGGAACTTTGTGAGATCGCGAACTGAGATGACAGCTTTTTAGTGATTGTAAAGGGAACAGACTTTGCACACTTTCTAGGCTATGTGTAATCCATTCAGACTTTGAGGTAACCCTCTGGGGACGGCAAACGCACCGGTACGTTTTGGCAGATTTTTTTCACATAGCAGTAAAATAGACTTAAACTACTCCATCATTTCTGGTCATACAGAGTTAAGACATATTAAAAAATAAACTGTTAAATGTTAAATGCCCACCTACAATCGAAATAAAATATTGTGCTTTTGTAAAATAAAGAAAATAAACAGGGTGTGCGTTCTGCTTCTCCGTGTCCGTGAACTTTTTTTCTGGAGCACGTCTCTAAACTTAAAACTCAGCGAATACTTTTCACCCAGACATGAGCAATATATGTTTATGATCATTTAAGTTTGTACTTTTAAATGATCTAATTTAAAACTAAAATAAATATTCTCTGTTTATGTAATCTATATAAAAAGAGAGAGGTGTCAGCCGTTCTCATTATCGTTCTCGCATCTCATTATTCCGCTAATGTGACACGCCCACGGAGAGCGCGCGCTATTCAAATGCTAATGATCTGAAGCAACACATTGAGACGTGTAAACGCCCACATAAACTCGGTAAACACACTATATTTAGTCAGATTAATGTACTGTCGTCTTGCGCGGCTGTGAGGAGTAATCCTGGGACATTTACCTACCTCAGAACAAGTGCTGGTTTATTTTCACTTCAAGGAGCGAGCTGAGCTGTAAGTGTTTTTATTGTTGTGCTTTGTTCTAATCGCGATATATATAATAACGTTAGTGTCTGTAAACGCAAAAATAGCCTACTGTTTAAATTTGAATCATGTTTCTGTGTGTGTGTGTGTGTGTGTGTGAGACTAGTTTTGGATAGATTATAAAGTTTTAACTCTAAAATAGACATCAAATAAGCTTTTGTTAGCAGTTTCTGCTCATATGTTAAATATATAGTATGTTTTGTCAATAAACTAATCAACTAAGAATAGTGTTTGTTCCAATGCAAGCTATATCAAAATAATGAATCCTTAACTTTGAAATATGTATGATAAAATGTATTGGCCTAATAAGACATTTATGAAAAAGGACAATTTTCTTTTCAAGATGTTTCCAACTTTAACTTTGAACCAATTCTGTAGAATGGCCCATATAACCTATTTGAACAGGATTTGTTTCCAGGTATGACTAAAAATGTGCTTTTGACTTTCATTTACATTTTGATTTTATATATATAGTATGTATGTATGTGTGTGTGTGTGTGTGTGTGTGTGTGTGTGTGTGTGCGTGTGTGTGTGTGTGTGTGTGTGTATATTGTCCTTGCATTCTTTCTTGTATGACACACCTGAATGAAAGGCTCATTAATATGCGGGTCTTACTCTGTCTTCTCAACCACCTAATTATTCACAATGGGGTTGGGCCGTTCACGCCCATTCGCATGTTGCCTTGGCTAACAAAAAAAATGTTTTTCACAATTTAAAATAATCTATTGTGTTATGTGAATGATTAGACAGGATGATTTTCAGATCACTTTGAAGCAAAAACTCTAGGCCACAACTTCCATTAGTCAAAAGTCTTGTGGACACATATTTAGTATGTGTTCTGTGGCTTTATTTCAGAAACTTTAATATTTAGTTTTTTCAATAACCATGCATAAACAATATTCTCTCAAAAATACAAACATGTACATACATGTTGCTCACATATTATGGTAGCCCTGTTTGTGCTAAATAGTGTAATTTCACCTGTGCCATTAATATGTTTATAAGCAGCTGAAAAAAGCACAAATGTCAGGGCATGTCAAAACATCTCAAGGACCCCAAAAACACATTTGTCCCCAGAGGGTTAAAGTCGACACATATTGGTAATTGATATGATTAGCCCTTGGCTTGACTACATTATCAAACAGCTAATAATGTGTTGCAAATGTTACAAACCATGTTCCCGTTCACCATCTCAGAGTCAGACAGTCGCCTTCTAAAATTAGCATCCCTAGAAAGAATAAAAAAGCTCCACCACTAGCCTTGACTGGATTGGTTGCATATTTGTGATGTAGGAGATAGGGGCAGTTTCAAACTGCGTTTTTGAGACTGTCTTTGGTACAATGCAGTTTTTAAGGAGGAAATACTCAGCAATGGAGTTGACTGATGAATTTGCACATGGTTTGTCTTAAAAACATATTAAAAGCACCACATAGACATATAAACAACATTCAAATTTAGATTTTCACCACAGGGGGTCTTTAATATAATATATTTCAAATAATATATACTACTTTCATCGCAGTTTCATAAGATGTATTGCTATTTCAGTTTTATTTTGATTAACTGCACAGCCTCATTTATTCATTTGTTTACATTTGAATTATTTATGGAGTGGTGCAGGTATGATTTGTAGGCCAACCGACAGTTAGCACCACACTGGTTCCCTCAACAAAAACCAAATAAGATTTTTCCATAGGCTTTTGGATTATCGCAAAGAAAAAAAGAAAAAAGTAAGCTCTGTGATCAACAAGTTAGCTACATGTTTTGTCCAGATAATTTACACAGATGAACAACTTTTATTCATTTTGAAGCCTAAATGCAGTCGCCAAAAGTAAAAAGTTAAAGGTAGGCTATAAACGAACTAAACCACGGCAACACATTGTGGAAATAAAAAAGGAAATGGTTCTCATTATAATTAGCGAAGCCGTCTATGCTGTATGCTAAGTGTGTCGCATTGCACTTTTAATGGATGGACTTCTTATTTCTATTTTTGACGCACTGCACAGTTACTCCAGTAACATTGTTATTCTTTTAGAAAATAACTTGACTATTACATCACTTGCTGACCTGCTTATTTCAATTCTAAATTGTCTTATAAATTCTACATTGTATAAGCTTTTAACATAGCCCATACACAGTCAATGTTGTAGGAAATTATTTTTGAGCTTGAAGTTGATTGGTCTTTTCTGAACGAGAACAGTCTGAGTTGACGTTGTGTCAACAGGTAAAATAACAAGTGACATGGCATGATTTGTTTACCTTGTGTACTTCAGGATTTTCGTCATTTTTGCATTGGTTTTCCTCCTGTGTGTGGCTTTATTCTCAGTGATATTTTAAGTAATATTTCTTTTAAATTAATTATTTTAAATACCCCATTCAGAGAGAATTCTTAATGCAAATCTTAATAATTTAATTCCTTGGTTCATTTTAATAATCTTAAATCATTTTAAATACAGTAATCTGACACTTAAACTGTTGCGTTGTTCTTTTGAAAAAGTTCAGTGTGCCGTATTATGACCAAAAATCATTTTCCCTTTGACCAGAGAACCAGAGGCCAGAAGAGAAAGAGAACGTCCATTTACGAGGAGGATAAGATCGAGGTGAGCTTTCCCTTCCTCACCCCGCACTCCTTTAAGACTGTCTATCACCCCCATCTACCTCTAATATTTAGAGAGCGTTATGAAGGAAGACAGCTTGTGTATGTTTACACAGCAATCTCAGCCCTCTCCACTCACCATCTTCATTCAAACACACACGGTGGTTTCCTCTAATAGCTTGCGTTTCCATAGGAACCATCACCGCGGGAGCGCAGACAGAGGCATTCGACTCTGCAGAAAAAGCCCAAAGCCGATGACACACGGACCGAGTGCACCACCTGCAAGAGCCCGGGCGACAATGAAAACCTAGTGAGGTGGGTAAGCTTGTGCGCTGCGCGTCTCTGAAGCATCTGCGCGCGCGAGAGCATGTTTGATCTGGCGGGGAAGAGGTGGGGGTTATATTCGCCTCGTGATTAAAGTTCAGGCTTCATTATAAGGACTCTGCCATGCATGTGTGAGTGGGAGGTAGCGCCGGCTCCACGGGGCCCTCTCTATTTGGCTGCCACATGTATTTGCTCACTTGGTTTGGCAGTAATGAGCTGTCTGATTTACTGTCACCACTTGGCCCCTGGTATGAGGTTGCGGTTCCTTCAAACAGGATTTTTTAACGTAACAGTCAGATCCAGATCAATTATACTTTTTTTTTTTCTCTTCCTTTAACACCTCCTCGTCATGCTTTTCAATGCCGTAACATTATGTTTTTGCTCCTCAAATATATGCAAGCATGACTAAGAAACTTTTAATTGAAGCTCACATAATAGAAGTGACAAACAGTCGCCACTTCCGTCCCATCACGATTTGACATAAAGCTGTTTTGGGGTAATTGGAGAGTGGCCTGTCAGGTTCGAAGTACTTCAAATGCTTTTAAAATGCAGATTAGGGGATATGCAATGTTTTGTACTAGAGCTGGCCGGTATAATGATATATATCATGGCTACGATATAAAGCATCAATTGTTTTTGCTATTTTGCTATATCTTTTACATTGCAGTATGTAAATGTATCCGAATAGCACAGTATTACTTTAAGTTATTGGCACTTTACAGTGATACAGAAACATGCATGAATTAGAAATTCAATAGCGCGCACGGAAAGCCGCCATGACATCCCGTATTCAGCTCTATTTCGTGGCTTATTGCACACAATTATGTAAAAATCCCCATTGTGTGGTGTACTCGCATAAAAAAACAGTCAGTTATATCTTATGTCTGAACGAAAACAGTTGGGTGTAAACCGGATGTGCGTCAGTACATTCGGTCTTAAAGTGACCGCAGCCCAATATCGTTAATCAAAAGACAAAGAGAAAATCACTCGCTGCTCTTCACTGAATAACTTTTGTAGCTTTAATAATAATCAATTTCGATTTTATTGATACAGTGAAGAATATGCAGTGTTTTTTTTACATTTGATTATATACATTTCTATAGTAGTGTTTTATTACTGCATGTTAAATAAACCAACTGTACCTGAATTCAATTCAATTCAAAATTCATATTTTTGTTCTATTGTATTTGTCCCATCGTTTGAAATGTGCTTCTTTGTTATTTTTAATAACTCAAATAAAATAAAAATGAATATGACGTGATGTATATCGTGATCCGATCGTGAAATAAAATTTCTCATATCGTGAAATAATAAGATTTTGCTCATATCGCCCACTACTATTTTGTATTGTCGTGCAAAGCGGCTAGTTGGAATTAGCTGCTGCTTGGCCTCGGCTGTGGTGTGAGGTGTGTTGCCCTGACTCTTTCTATCTTTGCATTGAACAGGTTGTGAGAGCCGGGCACCACCTCCTCCTCCCCTAGAAAAGGACAGATGAGAGAGAGACAGGGAGAGAGAGAGGCAAATTAACTCGTTTGAAGAGCGGCGTTGGGGTCGGGGAGGAGTCGCGGATGACCGTCCCTTCTGCCCAAAATGGACAGTGCCATGGACGTTATCATGGTTAAACGACGGTCTGGCGAAAATTTTCTGAAAGAACGAAAAGACTATCGTATGTGGACTAACATAAAAATGGTTGAGTTTGCACTATAAAGGGACTTAATATGGACTATATATGGACAGAATACTCAGTTAGCCAGTTTGGAGGCACATACTCACCAATAGGGTCGTTCTTTGTGGAATACATGAACAGTGACACTGGTTTTGGGCCTTTTGCTCTGTGGATTAAGCCAGATTCTGGGCCTTTTCACCATCTTTGCAAGCGATTTGCTGTCATCTGGCCTTCTTCAGGCCTCCTGGACTTTCTTTTTCTCGCTTGCTTTCACATTGGCTCTACAGCAACGCACACCTCGCTCTATCCGAGCTTACCGCTGATCACAAGACCCAATCAGCTGTGTTGACGAGTTAAATGTGCTTCTGAAAGCTAATTGTGTCTTCTGTCTTGCTTTTTATTGTGAATGCTCTTAATGCTTTTGTTTCATTACTCTGTGCTATTTTGCCTGTGCTGTATGAAATATATGGTTCAAAGTGATTACAATAGAAATCAGTAGAGTTGTTTTTAAAAAAGTGTAATATTACTCAATATGGTAATATGTGTAGTTTTCCTTAGTATCAAATCAGTGATAGGGTTAAAGTTACAAAAACATATCCGGACGCATTTCACCACAAAAAAAGGAAATTATATTTTATGTGAAGGAAATGATGCAAGGTTTAGGACCATTTTATGAAAATTCAGCACTTTTTCCAGCCCGCTTTTCATTATCGTAATGCTTCTGGACTTTTTTTTATTCTTTTTACATACATTTTTATTATTATTTAATATTTTTGTAATTCTCTTTTGATAATTCATTGCTGTAGAATGCGATGCAATAGTTTTTACAGTTCATTGTTTTTTATTTTTTATTTTATTATGTATTAATTCTTTACAATTTAAATCATTACATTGATGACAGTTGAAAGGAATAATGTGCCAAATTAATTGGTTTCATTGTTTTGCTTAAGTTTGCCATTTTTCTTTTGAATTTGGGGTGAAATTTTCTCTTGATGGGATATTCTTCTCCCGATAATAATGAGACGTAGAATGGTAAAATTCTAAAGTTACAGTAATTAGTTGTGAATGTAGTCTGTGTTGGTATTTTGGCTTGCATCTGCTTGGCTGACAGTCATCCTGTTTATGTTTTGCCATGGCAAAAAGAAATCCTAACATGCTGAAAAAAAACGCTTCTATCCCAAACCCTCCCTTCCCTCGTATTCCAGTGTATTGCACTAATGAAAGTCTAGCTACCTAATTCCACGACAGGCCTGGCAGCTGAAATCCGAGTCCCAAAGTTCCCACTCTGACAGTTCACTGTGGCATCTTCCCTCGTGCCATTGGGAAAAGCCTTGTCCCTCATGCCCTCTCAAACTGCTTACTCGCACTGGACCAGACACGACACTTCCTTCTGTGGGATTTACATATCTTTCTGTCTCTGGATGACTTCAGCTGCCCTTTAACCTCTGACCCCACTGTATCTTCAGCCAGAGCTTTATCTCTCTCCACTACAGCTGTCTTACCTAGCTCACAGCATACTGTGTGTGCAAGTATTTGTCGAGGCACATACTGCATCTGCTTTGCTCAGATAATGCTGCAAGATGGAGCCTTTTAGATTACAGGTCGCCTGTTACGTCATGTGATGTCAGTTTAGCAAAGTATAGAACTCTTTTTTTTTTTTTTTTTGGCATAAGCCATGCTGCAATTTTTGTTCTAAATGTTTTGAAATTGAAATGTTTATTAGTACTTGAATTTTTTGTGCTTGACGTTTTTGTATTTTTATGTAATGTATATATCTGACAGTAATTTATTCTTTAGGTATTCTCCATAGGTAATGTGTCAATGTGACTTGAAATGAGATTACAGTATTGCATTCTTGAGTGTTTACGTCCTGTGTGTATATGCAGTGTTTTTGTTGCCATGCGTCATTTCTCGTGAGTGTGGTCTTAGGACAGTGGCATTGCATTATGCAAGCCTTAATAAACTTTTGACTTTTTCATATCATTGCCACCACGATCAGTGAGTCTCAGTAAGTCCAGCTAATGGATTGTGCAGGTTCTGCCAGCCACCATTGGCATCAACTCTGGCCCTGTACCCACCAATTTGAAAGGAAAATAATGTTTAAAGTCACCATGAAATCATTAATTTTCCCCTTCCCTTCGCAACATCTCTTTTTTAATTACATATTCCCTGGCATGAGTGCTGGGCAATAATCCTTCCCCCCCAACAACAATCCAACCAATTCTTGTTGAACAAAATTAAGTCCATTCCCACAGTTTGTCTTGTTTCTCTTAGATATATACAGTATAACAATAGCGAGAAAACAAGACAATTGCAATTTGCCATGTATGCCAACTTATAATATTCATAGTATGCAATACCATGTTTATAAGAAAGCTAGATTGGGAAAGATGTTAAAGCAAAGATGTAGTGCGGAAAGAAAAGAAAAAAACATTTTACAATGTTGTACATATTATTTTTTTTAAATTGTGTGATGCATAGATCTGCTTTGTACCAGCCTTTAAAAACTCTTTTTGCTCGACCACTAATTTTGAAGCCGATTTGTGGCATTTTGTCACGGCAGACATGCGGTGGCTGTAACGCATCTCGGTTAATACTCTCTCTCCTGCTGTTTTCTCAAAATGTTTTTCCTTCACTCCATCCCTGTTTTCCCGTTTAGCACATCTCATCAGCTCACACTTACGCACTCTTCCTGTCTCTCTCCCTCATTTCCACCAGCCTTCTCTCTTCCCCGTGCCAAAGCCCAGCTCTACAAAGAGTGAGAGGAAGGGAGAGAGAAGCGAGGCTTTCATGGGGAAATCTAGTTAACGGCATAACAAAAAGCCCAGTGTGTCTGCTAGTAAGTGAATCGCATTTGTGCTTATACAACGGTGGCGGTGGCGGGAACAAGCTAGATCTCTGTGGCCCGGGCCCATCAAAGCTCTGAGCCTCTTATTGTGGACCGGAGAGATAGAATCAGTTTGGCATGACCAAAACCTGAGCACCCCAATCCCTCATACTCAGTCCAGTGGTCTGGTACGAGGAATCCGGTGGGACGAGTGGTTCCGGTTTGAACCCGGGGTGCAGAAAGAAGGGGGAGGAGGATGTTCTGGAAGAGCGGTAACCTTTCCGATGATGAGCGCCTTTCCTATTACAGACCTGACACGGGATCCAGGGAGATGATTTAATGGCGGCATTTTGTTTTTGCTGACTTCACCCCTTTTTTTTGTTCCCCCCCTTTGCACTCCCCACCACTATTAAAACAGAAAACCAAAACGGTAGGACTGCAGAGTGTGGGAAGACCGGCCAAGCAGCTAAAATCTATTACGCTATGGCTTCTACAGTG